TTGGACTCAGAGCAATTTTCTGTTGTACTATAGAATACACTTGATGTTTATCAGCCTTTATCAAATTTTGAGTGACAGCTTTCTCCTTCCAATTGTCCAAACACACGATATAGTCAGCAAAGGTTATAGATGTCGCAACAACAGATTTCTTCACACCCTTCGCCTTTTTCGTAGTTCCCAAATTTCGTAGAATTGTATCTATTTCTGAATCGTCATAATCTTCCTTCTTCAGTTTTTCACGTTTCTTCATAATATCATCTGCAGTAGTTGAAATTCTGGTCGAGTAAAGTTTTGATCTTAAGCCAACGTAATCAGTCATGAGGATTCCGTTGAATTCGTCTTTCATAATGCCGAGTACCTTCTTATTGACTTGAGGAATACCGTAGATGTTGGTGGGATGATAATCGGAGGTATCAAAGCGCTGATAGCAATCACGCTTGATTACTTCATGAGGATCTTGTCCAATAATTTCGTATATCAGGCTGTCGGTATCGGTAAAGAGAACAGAGCAATCATGAAATGTGGAAGACATATAGTCATAGTGGAAGTCATATAGGGTAGTCGTAGCTAAGTCTAAAATAGCTTGGCCAACGTAAATAGGTTTGTTGAGATAGATTTGAAGTTTCCTCAGCTCCACAGCTACCAAATTTTCATTGAAGACTGTACAGTTTTTGAATTCAGGTTTGGAAATATATGACTCAGCTCCATATCTCCCATTCCACTCAGTTAACAGCTTGACGTTGACTCTCTTCCTGATGTTTTCCATCGTCTTGCCGAAAACAGCATTGTTCATAAGTTTGAAAAGATTTTGTTCAAACTTATTTTTTGCTTGTTTACGGAGGTCAGTGTTCAGATCTATGTATGATTTCAACCATGGAGATGCTTGAACTCCAGTGCTCAGTGGATCTTCCTTAGCACTAAACCATGTGCTAATGCTTGTTTGAGGGCCCGGTAGTGGATAACAAACTTATCCTTGTAGCATAGAGTCGCCATCAATTTGGTTTGTTCACGTACTGATTTAGGGGGCTTCCCTGTCTTTGGATTGATGTGTTGTGCGCAGAATGGTAGGTCCTTATGCATATCATGCAGGTGCTGCGGATAATCCAAGTCTACCTCTAGAATGTATCCTTCATCAGCATCATCTGGGATGGATGTAACGTCAATCCTATTGTCAACCCATTCGAAACTTCCATACGGAAGAGCTTGAGACATTGCCCAACCATACTGATTATTAACGTCGAAATACATCAAGAACGAATCAGGTTTTGATATATCATAATTGGACATATATTTGTTGTTAGCGTGGGCTCTTCTTTTAGAACAGACTTGGCTGAGACCACCTCTAACTCTTTGCTCAACGAACAGGAACATGTCGGGATCTGTGATGAGCTCCAACTCCTGATTAGTAAACTTCATCATGGCGTCCCAAGTGAATCCCGGTAGAGTGTAATAGTGGGCAGGATCAAGATCGTAGGTTTTGAGGCAGCTATTTCGAAACTGTTCGAATACGTCGGCGAGAAGGAGAATGTCAGTCATCATATACAGATCAACATACTAACCCAAGTCTTTGCAGTTGAACTTACTCCATACAAGGTTGGCACGAAGGTAAAGTCTGTTAGGGCAGGGCTCATCCTTCAATTTGTTATAAAATGCATCTATGGGAGGTAGGCAAGTTTCGTTGAAGCGCTCGAATGAATCAATATAATCATACAGCATCACACCTTTCTTAGTGAGAAGGCTGAATTGATCTTCGAGGATATTGTGGAATTGTGATTTCAAATTTGAAAATTCAGTCAGATACGAAGCCAGCGTATCAAGAGAGGAATTCATGAAGCGGAAGCTATCGATGAATCTGAATTGTATAGGTGTCTCATCAACATGTTTAGTGAAGGATATATACTTTTCCTTCGTTATAGGCAGCAAGTCGATAGTACCGTGCATTCTGGTAGCGATGTCTGTTATTAAAAAGTTTGCATCATAATTACTCAAATTATGGAACACAACAGGTACCACATGACTGTCTTTATAATTAATATTACAAGACTCGTGGGAGGGTCCTCTATAGTTGTTTTCTGGAACTAGATGGAAATGATCACGAACTTTCTTATCTTCCAGTCCAAATTGCTGCTCACAAATGTGACAATGTGTAGCTTTTTGGAACTCTGCTTCTTGTTCTGCAGTCATCTGAATGTTATAGGGACACCAAAAGACAGTAGACATATCTTCAGCTAACTTGGTCATTTCATGTGCAAACCATTCCATGCAGTCTTCTCTACGATATGAACGATAAAAGGAAATGGAGTCGAGTCGTCTAAGAGCACTTGAGGTAATACCCGACAGCGGCTGGAATATGATGCTGTGGCTTCATAGGATTTCCAGTGGGCTTTAAAACAGACTCGAGATCAGCGTAAACGATGAATGGAGCTTTTTCCTTGTTCCGATAGTTTTTGAATTTCAAAGTATTTTTTCCTACTTCAGGCATTTTTATGGCAGTTTCGTTGATTTTCACACAATTTTCAACATGTTGGTCTAGTTTTTCTTGTGACCTGAAGTAGTGAAGGCATCGATCACAGATGTATTTTTTTCCATCTTCTCGACTCAGCTGGGATGAAAGGAGTCTTGACATATCTTTGATCCAAACATAATGATTTCCAACTGCATCTCCTTGTATGAGTAACAGATTGACGTGCTTCTCCTGTTTTTCTTTTGTTAGGAAAGTTGGCAATGTTATCAATTTATCATTGATTTCCTTCAAGATATACACATTGATTGATATTCCATTCTGCTTCTCGAAGCGTTGAATCTGATTGAACGTCATAGGAAACTGAATACCCTCGAGGTTGAAAACTGTCGAAGGGGGGGGGGGGTACGAAGAAGTTCTGTCAGGGTGCTGAAGACGATTGACTGGATATAAAGCTGAGACAACTGCCCAGGCGAAACATGCTTGATCATCATTCTTGACATTGATGCAAGCCTCTTTCCTCTTAATTTGGGATGGTAACTCGATATAAGAGGATCCAAGCTGTGGAGTAAACTTGTTTATGTTCACACCCAAATTTATTATACTCTTCAGCGCCCATCCACTGTCGCGCTCTTGGAATTCTTCCAGCTCCTTCATGATAGGATCAATCACTTTGTCATCGAACCACTTGTTGAGATCAGTGTTTCTATAGATCGGCGAGTTGGAGGTGGTGAAATACTTGTATTCAGTCAGCACCCTATCGCCCTTTGTGATTTCGAATTCTCCACAGAATATGGTGTTGACTTTGACTGCCTCATCTTTTTTGAGAGCATTCTGAATACGTATTCGAAATAGAGCTTTACAGTCGAACATGAATGCTTCGGGGTCCTTATGTTTCAAGTTGCTGATGACTCCAGTTCTGATGCGGGATTGGAATGCTAACTCGGAATCTTCCCACATAACTCTATCCCTCGCAGTTTCTTTTCTTGATGTTGTCCCAGCTCCTCTCTTCTGAATTGCTTTAAACTGATTCCGCATGCTTTTTAAATTCCTTAGGCAGGCTTCCAGGTGCTGCTTCTCACCTAAGTTCTTGGAATACCTTAGCGCGTTTTTGATACGCTTTATCCCCTTATGGCATTCTCGAAGTCCATCCTTCGAATGATTAGGCGATTGGAGACCCAAAAGAGTAGCGATGTGACGAATCAAATCGGCAAATAGTGACATCTTTGGCATCTTGTGTCTTCACAGTACTGCAATAGAATGAGAAAAAATAGAATTTGTCAGCTATAAGTATACTTCTAGTCGGACGGAAGACTGAACGCCAAACATAAAACACAATATAAACACAAAAGGCCCCCGAACTACCGAAATTTGTGTGTTTTTTTCCATAAAAATTAGTATAAGAACAAGCAAGATGTGCATCAATCAACCCCTCGAACGTTTTGAGGTAAGAGAGCACTAAAGGAATATGATTCTTCAATAGCCTTTGAGACAACAGTTTCCCCTGATCAAGTTTTGAAAAACAAACGGAAAACACTGTCTATACCTGACTCTTGAAGGCGACTACCTCCTTTGTAGAGAGGAATTACAAACACCAAAGCCGGTACGCTCCCCTCGTGAGAGTACCTGTTATGTTTCCGTGCGGGAAGAGTCGATCTTATCCTCCTTGCCTATTCAAATTAAGATTTCCGCTATAACTAAGTAACATAAAATCATCATATATGCTGCTCTGAATATTTACTACTAAAAGATATGAAAAAATGATTTTTTCAAATTCTTGACAGTGAAAAAAAAAATTGAATCTAACTGTTGAGCACATAATATGCATAGTTCTCACATTATCATGATATCTTCAGAGTTATGATCTCCATCTGAGACGTCACTGAACAGTGTAATCTAGTTATGATGTCTTATTACTTCAAACCCGCCAAACATGTCATCTCAACCGCCAAACACACCATCTCACCCGCCAAACACGTCATCTCAACCTCCAAACACGTCAACTCAACCGCCAAACACGTCATCTCAACCGCCAAACACGTCATCTCAACCGCCAAACACGTCATCTCAACCGCCAAACACGTCATCTCAACCACCAAATACACCTAAACATTAACATATCATTAACGAAACATCATATTGATAGATTGTGTCATTGACGAAACGTGACATTAGCGAAACGTGACATTGACGGAACGTCAACGAAACATGATATTAACGGAACGTGTCATTGACAAAACGTGACATTGACGGAACGTGACATTGACGAAACGCGTCATTGACAAAACGTGAAATTGACAGAACGTGACATTGTCAGAACGTCAACGAAACATGATATTGACGAAACGGGACATTGACAAAACGTAACATTGACGGAACGTGACACAACGAAACGTCATTTTGACAGAACGCGACATTAACAAAACGTGATATTGATAGAACGTGACGTTGACAAAACGTGACATTGACGAAACGTGACACAACGAAACGTGACATTGACAAAACGTGACATTGACAAAACGTCAACGAAACATGATATTGACAGAACGTGACACAACGAAACGTCATATTGACGGAACGTGACATGTCAACGAAACGTCATATTGACGGAACGTGACATTGACAAAATGTAACATTGACAAAACTTGACATTGAGAGAACGTGACATTGACGAAACGTGACATTGACGAAACGTGACATTGACGAAACGTGACATTGACAAAACGTCAACGAAATGTCATATTGACAGAACGTGACAATGACAGAGTGTCAACGAAATGTCATATTGATAGAACGTGATATTGATGGAACGGGACATTGACAGAACGTGACTCCTCCGAGAATCAGGAGGTAGCAAGGATCACATCAGGCCAGCCGTCAAGTTATTTATAGCCAGAAGGCCCCTCGGAATTCGAAGGCGCTACACAGAGGCCCGAGGTAGACAGTGTTTTTGAAAGAAAACGGTTCTTTGATAACCTATAGGTGACAATTTCTCCTGAACATGTTCAATTGAACAAACGAAAAACACTGTTCATACCTGACTCCTTAACGAAGACAACCTCCATTGTAGAGAGGGATTAGAGACTTCAGAGTCGGTACACTCCCCTCGTAAGGGTACCTCACGTGTTTTCGTGCGAGAAAAAGTCGTCCATTTTCATTCAACCTGATGTGTACAATATTTTATCAAGCATTTAAATAGCTTCGGTAGTTTCAACTACTAAATTATCTATACAGGTAGTTCAGAATCACTTTCAGTGGTGAACTATATCCAACGTCATTATTCTAATGAAAAATTCTCACAATAACTATTTTCATATTTTTTTGTTAACAGTGTCCAAATATCAAAAATCTGACGACTTCATACTCATAGAATAGGAAAAAAAAATCAGAGTGAATATCACAAAAACAAAGGAAATGACATAGTTGTAACAACGTCATCATATTGAAATTCCTATAAAGACGTTTCTATAGACGTAGTTTGAAATCGTATTCATCACTGAAATATATCGAGAACCAAAATTTCAATCGTAAAATTCTAATGATGAATATTTTTCCAAATATCTCGTAACGATCTCAAATATCTATCAAAATTGAATAGAAATTTCACCTCCGATCAAGATAACTGCATTTCTAGCGACTGTCTATTGAATGAAAGGAAATTGGAACCCATATCACGTAAAACAAAGAAAATAGAAAATCATAGGGAGACAGCTTTACGAGAAACTATCATATTCAATAATTTTCTTCGGAATTATTACAAGTCCAGAAGGCATCATATTTTCATAAATAACTTGAGAACGGCTTGGAATATCGAAAGTCTGAATGTAAAATCACCCACACCTAACCCTCTTGGCATATTTGATAACAGTCTAACGAATAATCATCCTTCAAAGTTGATACCACCAGAAACAAAAAAAAATCAACTATCATTTTCACGAGAAACTAACATATTTAACACGTTGACAGCCAATACTAGATTTGGTGACTTACTGAAAGGCTGGCATTTTTTTTTCTTCTTGTTCATCTAATGTTGAGAATTTATTTTTTCCATTGACTGTAACGCAATTCAACAAAAACA